TGGCAAAAGAAACTACCATCAGAGTGAACAGGCAACCTACAGAATGGGAGAAAATTTTTACAATCTACCCATCTGACAAAGGGCTAATATCCAGACTCTACAAAGAACTTAAACAAACTTACAAGAAAAAAATCAAACAACCCCATCAAAGAGTTGTCAAAGGATATGAACAGACACTTCTCAAAAGAAGACGCTCACCATCACTGGCCATCAGGGAAATGCAAATCAAAACCACAGTGAGATACCATCTCACGACAGTTAGAATGGTGATCATTAAAAAGTCAGGAAACAACAGGTTCTGGAGAGGATGTGGAGAAATAGGAACACTTTTGCACTGTTGGTGGGAGTGTAAACTAGTTCAACCATTGTGGAAGACAGTGGGGGATTCCTCAAGGATCTAGAACTAGAAATACCATTTGACCCAGTGATCCCATTACTGGGTATATACCCAAAGGATTGTAAGTAATAAAATACTATAAAGACACATGCACACGTATGTTTATTGTGGCACTATTCACAATAGCAAAGCTTGGAACCAATCCAAATGTCCATCAATGATAGACTGGATTAAGAAAATGTGGCACATATACACCATGGAATACTATGCAGCCATAAAAATGAATGAGTTCATGTCCTTTGTAGGGACATGGATGAAGCTGGAAACCATCATTCTGAGCATACTATTGCAAGGACAGAAAACCAGATACTGCATGTTCTCACTCATAGGTGGGAATTGAACAATGAGAACACTTGGACACAGGGTGGGGAACATCACACACTGGGACCTGTCATGGGGTTGGGGGAGGGGGAAGGGATAGCATCAGGAGGAATACCTAATGTAAACGACGAGTTAATGGGTGCAGCACATCAACATGGCACATGTATACATATGTAACAAACCTGCACGTTGTGCACATGTACCCTAGAACTTAAGTATAACAACGACAAAAAATAAAGCCTTTTATGCCCCCCCAAAAATGTTTTGAAAATAAAATTCAGTCTTGCCTTTCTTTTATCATTTTAAAGACCTTATTTCTAGTTGATGTTCCTATTTATTTGAAAGAACTTTGCAAATAAACTCTAAGTAACTGGTAAAGGAGATGAGTAAATTACAATACATTTCAGGATTTCAAACACTTTCATTTCAAATTCTTCACTGAACTGCCCGTTTTATTTATATGTAGTTATCTAATCGTGGGGTAGAAAAGTTCTTTCTTTTTTGTTTTGTTTTATTTTGAAATAGAGTCTCGCTGTGTTGCCCAGGCTGGAGTGCAGTGGCGCTATCTCGGCTCACTGCAAGCTCCTCCTCTGGGCTTCACGCCATTCCCCTGCCTGAGCAGCCCGAGTAGCTGGGACTATAGGCGCCCACCACCACGTCCGGCTAATTGTTTGTATTTTTAATAGAAATGGGGTTTCACCGTGTTAGCCAGGGTGGTCTCAATCTCCTGACCTCCTGATCCGCCCGCCTCAGCCTCCCAAAGTGCTGGGATTACAGGTGTGAGCCATCGCGCCCGGCGGAAAACTTTTTTCTAAAGATGTGTACAAAGGCAAAATCTCTGAAAGAAAAAAGAGAAAAATAACAAAATTGGATGGTAAATATTAAACTGGAGAAAGTTTATGTACCAAATATCACAAATAGCTAATGTCCTCATTATATAAGGAGACTCTCTTTATAGACTATAAATATAAATTATAATATAATTATGAATGACCAATACATTTGTTAAAAGATTTTTGATACCCAACTAGAAACAGGAAAATAGTATTTTATTAGCTATTGCATGTAAAAATGAAATGGAATGGTCATCCCATGCATGGTAGTGCCTGTGAAGAAGGGGGAATCCCAGTCTCCTGAGTCCAGTTGTGAAAAATATCTATGGGGCGGACACTTAGGCATACTTCAAAGCATCTATATCTTTTCCCCTAGTAATTCTCCTTCTAGAAATATGTACTAGAAAATAATTTTAAACTGGACAAAGATATACATATAAGATATTCATTACAACTTTATTTCTAATAGCAAAAAGTATAAATGAGTTGATGGTATAATAATTATAGGTTTATTAAATATATTTTGATATAAGGAAATATGCCATCACTTAAAAATAGTTAATGCTACAAGAAAAATGTTAATGTTATTTATGATATTCAACTTTTTGGTATAATATTATATTTTCTACAGCTTAGTGCAGATTGCACTTTTGTTTAAAAGAAAATATGACTAAGCATAGAAAAAATACCACACACACACACACCCCAAAATGTTAATAGTTGTCTGCTGTGAGGTGATATCATGAATGACTTTAAAAAATATTTTTCTCTGTGCATTTCTGTATTCTTATATTTCTTTTAAAATTTACATGTATTACTTTATTTTGAAAAACTTTTACTTTAAAAATGAAAAATAACCTTCTTCTTGTTTTATCTATTTCTTCTGTTTGTTAACATGAAGCGTTTTTGCATTTCTTCAAGGTTGTATTTTCACTCTTCAAGTTCGCACTGAGAAGGATGGCCATTTCAGAGGACTGGGAAATCCCGAAGGCCACCCAAATGCTGGACGCAGTGTTGGCCAGTGTCATGCTTCTCCCTGCAGTTTAATGAAATGTGGCAACGGTGGGACATGCATAGAGAGTGGAACTAGTGTTTAGTAAGTATAACGTTATTAGGAATGAAAGTAGCAGGTTGTTTGTGCTCTAACTGGTACTCCACCCTAACTGGCATTCCACTTGTACAAACTAGGAACACAAACAGATGCACGTATTTAAAATGTTCTTATGTAGACTTGTTACATGATGGGAGGACAGGTGAAGGCAACTACAAATAGGATCAGCACAGCATTTATGCCATCTTAGTTCTGTTAAACAATGACAATGAATCACTACATCTCATTCCAGGCACCATGAAAAATATCACTTAAATCCATACTATTGAGAGAGTAGACAGAAATGTTAACCACACAAAGGCTTACACATTGGGATTTGCTTTCATATGTAGGTTTGAGCCGCTTTATAAAGGGCAATAGTAAAGCTACACAATTTGACTTCTGAACTACTTTAGTATGAAGCCAACATGGACCCATTGAGTGAGAAGGAAAAAAGAAAGGAGAATGTTTTTATATTAATTACTCCTTTTGCTGAGCATCTCATCTATGCAAAAGTAGTATATGAGGGGTTCTGGGAATATGCTAAAGAAAGTGGAAGTAAGCACTCTGTTATTCAATTTCTTACACTCTAGCTACTCATAAATTTCTTATGTCTCATACATGTATAAGACAGCTAAAGAGAGATTTGTCAAAATGCTCCCTACAGGATGCATGAGAAGATGTAATGCACTTCACCAGGAACACTGGCTCCCTGAAAAGCAGCTGGGAAAGTGGAGTGTCAGAGTTTCTCCTGAAGGACAGAGTCTACCATGAAGAAAGTGTAGTTTTAAAAGACATGAGTGAATCTCTTATTCACCCTAAACAAATTCCTTCCACCTCCTCGCTAGAAAATGATCAAAAGCAAAGCTCAAATAACTGATAGTCACAGTAAAATTTTTTGGGGAAAAAAAAATGTATAGTTTGACTCAGCCCATGGAATTACTGAGGACAAAATCTAAGGCTTGGGATGCCACCATCACAGAGCAATAATTTTTGGCATTAGCTTTACCATTATAATTTTATCATTCCTTCTCTACAATTTTTAATGAAACCTTTAGCTTGCTTTACAAAGTATGCACTCTAATTTGCTCTACAACTAAATTTAATTAGGAGTACACGTTTACTTCACTTTATCTAAAGAGTTGTAGTCATTCTTCAGGTGTTACTACTAAGTATTTTTGTTATTTTTTGACGTGATAATAAACAGGGATCTAGAAAGTAGCAGTAGGAAAGCATATGAAGTTGAAGGTGAAGGTGGGGAATCCATCCCCACCCTATGTTATTCCATGTGGACCAAACAGCCTAACAGTTTGAACCTAAGAACCATATATATGTATCTTGGAATATATAGTACCAAGTAGATAGGTACTTAGAACCATTTGCAGATTATTTTGATTAATATAGAAATTCTATTGAGTTCCGATATTAAACATAATACCTTACAATTGCACAGGACTTTGTGGGTAACAAAGCATTTTTTATATATTATTTCCATTGCTCCTCACTAAAACCCTCTAAATTACTCAAGGCCAGTATCCTAATTCCAATTTTATACAGGGAAAATAAGCCCCAGAGACTGTGAGTAATTCGAGAGGATGTATGAGCACCCTGTGAGTAGTACAGCAGGACTCAAAATCAGATCTTCCATTTCCTGGGTCAAGATTCTCTCCAGAATCTAAATAGCAAGAAATGAACTTAAAAGCAGCGAATAATTTTAATGAGGTAACAAAAGTGTTAAGTAGCCATTTACTGATTGTAACCTGTTCACCTTAATTTTTTAAAATGACGTTGAAATTGTCTTCAACTGGCACTTTGTATTTTCTCCAAATTGAAAATACGTTTCTTCATAACACATATCCTGGGAATTTCATAGATTGCCGTGTGGGTGGAAAACAGTATCTCAAACATGAGGGCCTAAATTTGAATAACAAATAGACTTAAGCGATAATGTACAGGGGGAATGATACATCTGACAAATTTCCTTACAGGATTCTAAAAATTTTTCTTATCAAAATTGTGACCAGTTTTGGGATCCTCTTATTGACTTAATTACAAAATAATTACTAACTATAAAGATTTACTGCAGAGCCAGAAGTAGCTCTTGTGACCAACATTTAATAACATTAAATTTACAGATCCCTGAACTTAAAACAGGTGAATTTTATGGTAAGTAAATTACACCTCAATAAACTGTTCAAAAATATTAAGTCTCCCATTCATAGACATTCAGATCCAGTGGCAGCAGCAGTTTAAAGAATTTTATTCCTTTTGATAGTTTTAAACAATCCTTTTCTAATCTCAGTATAAGAATACCTCCTTTAAAGAAAGAAAATATTGTGCTTTGTAATATACTTTTCAAAAGTGTTTAATAAGTTTATTTCTGTCCTTGTCCTAGTTACAGATATTTAATTTTCTATGGCTCTAAACTTTATTTTTCAACTGAAGCAGGGTAATATTAAATTGAATTTCTAGGTAACCTTCTAGACAGCTCAAAGCTAAAGTTTCATCTTTTCCTGAAAAATAACTAACACACCTTTTGAAATATTTCTTAAATGCTCAAGAGGCAAGTACCAACACAGAAGCACCAATTTTATGGTGCTTAGAATCAATTATAAAAGCAAAACCTCGAAGCTGATCAAAGTGTCTTAACAATGAACAGTTTAATGTTATAAATTTAAAACAACTCAAAATGCTCCCGTTAGCTCCCTTCCTCTTAGCTGGGATGGGAGGCATTGTTTGGGTACATAAGGGAAAGTCTTATTCCAAGCAAGGAGTGAGGTGGGGCCCGATAAGTTTTCCAGTATGTTCAGGGCCCTGGTAAAGTGATGAAAACCCTTCTCTCCTGCTCCGAGTTCATCACCACACACAGATCCATCTGTGTTCTAATGGAATTTCTCAAATGTAAGTATCATAAGGCAGAGTTCATTTCAGGCCTTTATACTCCTGGGATGAGTTCTGATACAACAAATAAATGGAAAACTATTTCTGTTCTTAGTAGCCAAGGATAAAAAAGAAAAAAGGTTACATCAAAACGAAAGTTTTAAGTAAAAAAAAAAAAAAAAAATGGGTTTAGTTCTTAGTCCTATGTGTGTATGTGCTTGGTGTCTTTTTTTTTTTTTTTTTTTTTTTGACATAAATAAAATGCTTTAATGAAATGGCTGATTCCAAACCAAAAATGTTTAATGAGAAGAAAGATATTATTTTACATTTTTGCCAATCTCTTCCACCATGTCTAGCTTAATAGGTGTTTTTAAGCAAGTTTTATTTTATTTAAGTTGTACTTTTTTCCTTTATTTTCTTAATTGACAAATAAAAATTGGATATATTTATCATGTAGAACATGATATTTCAAAATATGTATACATCATGGAATGGCTCAAATGAGCTAATTAACATATGCATTACCTCACATATTTATAATTTTTTCTGATTGGAATATTTAAAATCTACTCTCAGCAATTTTCAAAATACAAGACGTTGCTACTAACCATAGTCACCATGTTGTACAGTAACCTGTGACTGAGGACAATCTACAGATGTGTCCTTTTAAGGAAAACACAGTGTAGCCCTGGCACCATGGCTCACACCTGTAATTCCAGCACTTTGGGAGGCCGAGATGCGTGGATCACCTGAGGTCAGGAGTTCGGGACCAGTCTGGCTGACATGGCAAAACCCCATCTCTACTAAAAATACAAAAATTAGCCAGTATGGTGGTGGGTGCCTATAATCCCAGCTACTTGGGGGGCTAAGGCAGGAGAATCACTTGAACCTGGGAGGCAGAGAGTGCAGAGAACTGAGGTCTCAACACTGTACTCCCGCCTGGATGACAAGAGGGAAACTCCATCTAAAACAAAAAGAAAAGCAGTGTAGGGAAAATAAAGTTACAAAAACAAGTTAGATGTTAAAATGAGTAGCTTAGACAGTAAGTACAATAGGAGTTAGAAGAATGTGGTTGTAAAAATGTAAAATGCACCAAGGATTAATATTAAGTTCATAAATGAGGCTTATTTACAACATAAATCTATTAGTGATCACAAAATCTCATTGATTCAGGATTTCCTAATTATTTTTTGTCTTAGAACTGCCTTTGAGCATTAGGTTAAAGCTAAAAACCCTTTCCCCTAAAAACTGAACATACTTGGAACACAAAAATGTGCTTATCATTTTGGAGGTTTACAAACCCCTAGAACCCAGTAATAGGTTCTCTAAGGTCTGCCAAAGTTCCCAAATTAAGCATCCTTTGCCCAGACTGTCTTCTTTTATATATTTGTCCAACAATGCTTAATTCAGTCTTCTATTACTCCTCAGCTGGACATGTAATTGTTTTCCAACTGGTGACCTGTTCCCTAAACACTCCTAACCTTAATCCAGATCTTCCTAAAATCCTCTTTGCTCTTAATCATTTTCCTGCTCAAAATGTTTCCTGGTTTTCCATTGCCAATGCAGCAAAATGTAAATTTTTAATCTGTTGTCAAGCTATGTATGACTGTTATCAACCCGCCTCTTCCTGTTATTCTTTTTCTCTCTGCATAGCAAACAAATTAATTGTACTACTCTATCCCACCTTCCAAGAAACACTCTCTCCTTACCAAGCAATCAGCTGTGTTTCTTGTGAAGCTATGGCCAGCTTGGTAACTCATTACCTTGTACTAGTTCTCCTTTTTTCCTCCTCCCTTTGCTTCTCTCTCACTGTTACTTCCTTGAAAGAGTATTCCTTACTTCCTTGGAATTGCCCTTAACTCCGTCTTCTAGAGATTCCAATTTTAGATAGATAATTTTTCTCACCTATGAGGTTGGCAAAAAGCTAAAAATATGATTAATCTAGTAGTGAGGCTATAGAGAAGCAGACACTATTATGTATTAGAGCAACCTAATTTCTCTATTTGTTAAAACAAAGACTGGAAACTGCTCAAATGTTCATCACTAGGTATCTGGTTGAAAAAGCTAAGGAATGTTTATGTAATGGAGGACTTCATATATATACATATATATATATATAGACCTTT